TCCAGCTTGGACCAGCGCATGGGGGCATGTCCGTCCACCCCTGCCCAACGGCGAAGGTTCAGCCGTCGGCCCAACCTCTTGCCCGTGGCCTTAACCTGGTCAGCAGCCCGTGGCTCCAGGTCCAAGGCTGGGGGAAAGTAAGGTCTTGCGGTGTGGGCGGACAGGACCACGAACAATGCCTGCGGGGGAGGAAGCCACGAGGTGAGGGTGCGCGGTTGCGCGTCCGGGGCCAGGACGCGTTGCGGGTTGGCGGTGGGGTTCAAGCGGCGAGGAGCCCGGGTCCGAGCCAGGGAGGGAGCCTCACCTTCTCAGGGCCCTCCGCCACCATACTCTCCCGCAGCCTGCCTCGCCGACCTTACCCCGGCCGGCCTTGACTGTTTCTGTCGTCAGGAAGACCCAGCACCGAATGGGGTCTTTCGAGTCTGTGGACCAGAAGAAAAGTGCCGGGCCGCGACCGCGCCAGGGTTTATGCTCCGGGCAGGCCGGGGAACACGCCCGCAGGGCGGTGCTCAATGGCTTGCGCAGGAGCCCGGGCCGCGGCCTTGGACGCAGGGGGAGTCCCGACTGGGCCTGCGCGGGGCCGGCGGCGGGTTGGCTCGCTGGGGCGCACACGGGCCCGGGGGCCAGGACGTCCTCCACCTCCACCCCGCCAACTCTGCCCACCCGCCATACCCAGCTCTCCCAGGAACTGCAGGGCGGTCGCGACGCTGGCAGGGGGCCGCCGTTGGGGTCGGCGCTGCGGCTCTCAGCGGAGCGCGGCCACCTTTCTTTGGAGCGCCGAAGCGTCCCTAGTGAGGAGAAGCTTCAGCCCGCAACCCCGCCGCCCCGGCCTGCGCACGCGCTGGAACCGCCGCGGTCAGCCTCCCAGCGGGGAATTCAGGGAAAAACCACCCGACGACGCGGAGTGGGGTGAACACTTCGTGAAGGCTCTCGCCCATCCTGGGGCGGGAGGACGGGGCGGAGAGGAATGCGCGCACCCGGACGCCCTGGCCCATAGGAACGCAAAAGAATTTCCGCGCAGAGTCCGTCCTCCTCTCCAGTCTCGCTCCCTCTAACTCCCTTTCCCTGTGGCGATAGTCACTAGTGTGCTTGAGTGACAGGCACCAGGAAGGAACAAATACCAGGACACAAAAAGCACGGGGCTAGGCTGCATGCAGGTTCAGACTCCTCTACCCGGGGTTGTGGGGTGGCGCGTGGGGCTGGTGGGTGCTGGACTCACAGTGGGACCCTGTGCATTTTGTGTGACGGACTCTCCCACTGGCCTGGAGGTCGTGGTTCACTGTGACACCCCCAGTCTCTCCAGATGCTCTGATGGAAGACTCGCTAGGTAAACAGTGGTTGTAAACAGATAAACAAACTTGGCTCTGGGAGGGGAGAGGACGGGGAAGAAGTTTCCTGTGGTTGCAGAATTGAGGTGGGGGCGATGTGGGGTGAGGAAAGGGTGGACTTGGTGGGGGAAGGGTGGGAGGTGCAGTAGTGCCAGTGGGTGCATCCCTGCTCATGAAAAGTGATGGTTTGGCCTGGCGCGGTGGCTGACGCCTGTAATCCCAGCACTTTGGGAGGCTGAGGCAGGTGAAAAACCTGAGGTCGGGAGTTCCAGACCAGCCTGACCAACATGGAGAAACCCTGTCTCTACTAAAAATACAAAATTAGCGGGGATCGGTGGCACATGGCTGTAATCCCAGTTACTCAGGAGGCTGAGGCAGGAGAATCGCTTGAACCCGGGAGGCAGATGCGGTGAGCCGAGATTGTGCCATTGCACTCCAGCCTGGGCAACAAGAGGGAAACTCCGTCTCAAAATAAATAAATAAATAAATAAATAGTGATGATTTTTGGCGGGATCGTAATGGAAATATAGAAATAGTGAGACTGTGGAATGGCATAGAGCTGAATGAAGTGGCTGAAAGGGATATAGAGGAGACAGTTCACTGAGAATAGGAAGTTGTACACAGGTATCTACAGTATGATGGTACTTTTGTCCAAAAAGAGGGTCTGTGGCAGTAGTTGTAGTTGTAGCTGTTCCCTCTCAGCACAGGATGGGGCCGGTGGGCTCAGTCCCAAACCTTTCACTGTGGTCTCTTTTGGGGCTGGGAGTGAGGAGACAGGAAAGAGAGATTCTCTCCTACTTTAAGTAACACAAGAAAGGGGGTGTGTGTGTGTGTGTGTGTGTGTGTGTGAAAGCATGGATGGATTTTAGTTTATGTTTTTAAGTGTTTATGCTTAAATAAGAATGCTCTGGGCTGTGAGGCGGAGGAAGAGTGGATGGAGAGGGGGAGGGAACTCCCCAACAATTCAGAGGTCCATGTCCAGAAGAAAAGTGGTGATGGGGCCCTCTCCGCCCTCCCCAAAGCTTGATACAGTACTGTGAGTGTGGAGGGGGACGCTTGCTCTGGGACAGGAGCTGGGCTGGAAGTGCTGCTCATGTTCTTAGGAGGGCTGAGAGCCAGATGGGCTGTGCAACTTCCCAGCATGGATTCCAGGACTTCAGCACCGGGGACAGGGACGTTTCCAGAAGTTGCTGGCAGCACGGGAAGCAGAAGCACCAGGAAGTCCCAGAGGCCCTGGGTGGGGCAATTAGCTGGGGGCTCAGAGCTGGGCACACAGTGAGTTCTGAAAGCACCCTATAAAGTGCAGGAGAAGTGCCGGAGTGAGGCCGCAAGGTACTCTGCTGAAGAGTCTCCCCAGGTGTAGGCTGCCGGCTGTGAGCATCGCAGCCCCTTCCTCCTTCCCCACTGACTGGGCTGCTGTGGGAGGGTTCCCATGACAGAGGACGTGTGGGTAGGGCCAGCGCCCTCACTCCAGACACCTACCCTCTCCAGACACCTACCCTCTGGCAGGAAGGGGTGGGAATGAGAGAAATGTTCAGGCACCTGCACTTGCATTGGGAACAGCCTATTTTGCTAGTTTGTTTTGTTTCGTCTTGTTTTGATGGAGAGTGTATGTGTAAGTTCAACCAGGGAGATTTCAAGGAAGAGTGGCAATGCTGGGACTCCCTGAGAAGAACCCTGGAGGCCTCTCTCCTCCGCAGCTCCCGAGTCACTGCCTGCAGGCCTGGCACCTCTCAGGACAGGGACAGGTTCAGCACCTTCTCGTGAGCAGGCCCATCTCAGCTTCCCCTCCCATGCTCCCTGCAGTTCTCCCTCCCCAACCCCATGCAGCTGCGGAGAGGTCCTTGGTCTGAGACAGGAAAACACCTCCATGGCTGGCACACTCAGGGAGAGAGAGAGAACCCAGGCACACACAGGCTGCCGCCTACTGGGACTTCATTCAAAGATCAGGAAGTGCTGGGGTGGGGAGGGGAGGAGGGCCTGGAGGGAGGCCCAGTGGGCAGGGGGCATGGCCACCAACGCTTCAGCTTAATGGTATTTGGAAGTCAACACATCACTCACAAAAGCAAATAATTTGTCCGTGGAGGCACCACATGGGTAAACTGGGAAGGGTGTGATGGACCAGTGTCACCAGCAGGCATTTATGGAGGAACTGTGGAGAGAGTCAGGGGACGTAGATACCACTGTCACCTGTGCTCCACCTCCCCGAACGCATGGGATGCTGTGTCTTATGAGGAAGACCAGCTGCCCCCACACCCTAGATTCCTCCCAGCCCAAAGCTCACCCTGATGTTGCCTGGGTCCACCCACAGCTCATTGACGTGCAGTTGCCTCAGCTCAGACAAGTCATTGGGCATGTCATCTCAGTGGGCCATGGTGTTGGTCAGTGTGTCGGCCACCTACTTGCATTGTTTCTTGATGAGGGCTGAGCCATACCTCAGGACCAAGTGAGAGGAAGGTCAGGAACATGCTTCAGGGGGAAGCCAAGAATGAGGGGCTGGGGGCTGGGGCTGGGGCAAGAATGGTTAGGGGTGGCCAGTGGAGCCCTAGAGTGGGTGTTGGACCCAAAATGTGAGCGGGGAGAGGAGGGTCCTTCCCTCTCAAGGGCCTCCGTGACATAGTCAGGAGCGTGGTCGCAAACCTTCGCCCAGACCGCCTTGATGTTAGCCTTGTCCTCAGGAGACAGCACCGTGGTGGGTTCTGTCTGAGTCTGTGTAAGCTCAAAAGTGAAAGGAGCGGGAGAGTAGGAGCTCTTATGCCTGGGATGCAGGGTCTTTGGCAGGCAAGTTGCCAGGAGGTGCCTGGCACAGGAAAATAGGAAGAGGAGTAAGTGAGAATAGGCAGGTTGCCCAAGGCTGCCCTGAGTCTCTTAGTCCTACCCAAACAGAAACCCAGTTCTCTACATGGTAACCTTCCCACTCTCATTGTCCTGGGCTTCTACACAGGGTCCTGAGCCCCTTATACCCGTAAGGTATCCACATATGGCCCAGACCCAGGCAGCTTCCTGGATGGGAAGAAGAGCACAGTTTTTCCAGAGTGAAACATAAGCTGCTTTCACACCAAACTGCCTGGGACCAAAAGCTGTTACTTATCCATGTAAACATTTGGGGGGCTGAGCGTGGTGGCTCACGCCTGTCATCCCAGCATTTTGGGAGGCTGAGGCGGGCGGATCACTTGAGGTCAGGAGTTTGAGACTAGCCTGATCAATGTGGTGAAACTGTGTCCCTATTAAAAATACAAAAATTAGCCAGGCATGGTGGCGCGTGCCTATAATCCCAGCTACTCGGAAGACAGAGGCAGGAGAATCGCTTGATCCCAGGAGGTTGAGGCTGCAGTGAGCCACTGCACTCCAGCCGGGACCACAGAGCAAGGCCCTGTCTCAAAAACAAAACAAGACAAAATGAAAAAACTCAAGAAAACAGTTGGGGTATGTAGATAACATGGGGCCAAGTTCTCCAAACTACCAGGCTGGCGTCCCAGGCAGTGCAGGGCAACAGGTCCCTGGCACTGACTGCTGGAGGGAGCTTGACTGACTCACAGTCAGGGCTCCACTTCCAACAGCTCTCTTCAGACCTAGGCGCTGACCGCTAGGTCAGACCTGGCTGCCAGGCCTGGTCTAGTGCTCCCCACACTGACCCAGGATGGCCAACCCAGAGCCAATCCTATTCAGGATTTGCAGACCTCGAAGGTCCTACTCTTTCCTCAGACCCTGTTCTTTGTCTGAAAAGCCTGGGGTGGAGCCTTAAGATTCCTTTCCCCATCCTGGGGAGGGAGAAGAGGGAACCTGGGGGAGGGAGTGCCTTGGCCTGGGCACCTGCAGAGACTGAGACACGGCAGCTGGGGCTGGGTGGAGGGGTGGGGTGGCAATGAGCCGGCAGGCACCCACCCTATGTTATGATTTCAAAAATTATTTCAAAAATCTTGTGAGTTGAATGTTGTTTTTCTATTCGATGGGTAAAGGCCGGAGAGCTCTGGGACATGCCCAGGGTCGCATAGCTTGTCAATGAGCAGGCTGGAAGCCTAAACCAGGTCTGTCTGCCAATTTGTGGCCACGGAGGACTTCCTCCCCCCCTCACCCCCAGGGCTGGAGGCTCACAGGCAGGGCTAACCAGGCTAGCACAGGTTTGCAGCCCGGGAAGTGTCCATGGGGGAAGGAAGGGGAAAGGAACAGTGAGGTCTGCGGAGCCCTCTGCTCTGGGGCCCTAATTAGGTTGCACATTTGGCTCCCGCACCTCAGTTTCTGCATCTCTCTGCAAAGGGTCCAGGATTAGCATCTACAGGTCCCAGCAGGAAGTGGGGATGGAGAGAGAATGAGTGAATAAATGCATGAATGGGGAAGTGCTTTGCGAACAGTGCGGTTGGAAGCCGGATTCAAGAGTTGAAATCGAAGGCCACCCCCCCCCCCCCACATCACAGTACTCCCTCTGCCCCACCACACTCCCCGCCATGGGAGGACAAACCTCCGGGGGTGGGATGCATTTGAGAGTTCTAGGAGGATCCTTGCAGGTCCCTGAGCTTCTCTGGCCAACAATAGTGACCTCACTTTGCCAGCTCCCCAAAGACCACACAGGCGGGGGCAGATATTTGGGGCCTCTGTTTATTGACAGGCACAAACAAAGGCCAGCGCAGCACTAGGCTCAGCGGTACTTTTCCGTCAACACCACGGCCACACCAGTCAGGAACTTGTCCCACGCCGCTTGCATTTCCACGGTGAACTCGTCCTGCAGGTGGGAGGCCAGCACGACGTGGAAACACTGGATTAGCAGCTGCAGGAGAAGCGGCATGTGAGACGGGGTCTGTCCCTCTAGGGATCCCCGGAGCTCCCCCGGCTGCGCGCTACACCATTGCCCCGGCCGGAAAGGGCTCACCGGAAAGTTGGCTGGGTCCACGCGCAGCACGAGCGCGTGCAGGTCCGCCAGTGGGCTCAGCGCGGCGCGCAGGTGGTCCATGTGCTGCACCGCCGCGCCCACCGCCGCCAGCATGCGCTGCCCGTGGCTCAGCAGCTGCGTCGCGTCCTGGCAGGAGCTCAAGTGCGGGAAGTAGACCTTGGTGCCGGGGTATACTGTGAAGAGCCTGCAGGACCAGGTCGGTGACCGGGGAGGAGGGCGGCTGCGTGGGACTTCACTAGCGCCCACACCGCCCAGAGCCCCGGGGATCCGCATCGGAGGGACCTTGGATGGCGTTGGCGGCCCACGCGGCCAACACCCTCATCTCCACCTCCCTGAGCTCCCGGAGACCCCGCCTCTACCGACCTGAGCAGCAGCTCCGCCCCGAATTGCGCCTCGTGGCCCGCGATCAGGTCCCAGACCTGCGCGATTTGGGCGCGCTCCTGGGCGCTGAGCATGGCGCCGCCTGACGTGCTCTTGGGGCCGCACCCGTCGCCCTGGGCTCCTTATAGAGACTCCGAGCACCCCGCCTGTCCTTATCGGCCCGAGAGCGGCGGGAACGCGGGGACTCTCGGCCTGCGCCGGGAACGTAGCCAGTCCGGGTTCCTGCCTACATGGAGGCCTCGACCTCCGGGATCCCAGGGTTTCTGGCACTGACTCACGCTGTGGTGCGTGGGTACCTTTACTCCAGACTTCAGGGGCGTCTGTAATTACTCCCTCGGGCAAAGTTACTGGTGTGCCAGAAGGGAGCCCATGGGAGGAGCCGGAGAGAGAACACGGGGCAGGAAACCCCTACTCTCTTAGGAGTCGGGGAGGGACAGGCCTCAGGGACCCCCGCAGCTGCCAGAATCCCGGGATTCGGACTTCAGGCTTTGTGGAAAAGTTCCCTGAGTCCCGACACGCTCCCGATACGCTTAGCGAAGTGACAATCTTTGGGCGATATGGGAAGCTGGGAGACGCACCAACGCCCGTCTGACCAAGAGCCCCAGGAGACGCCGTGGGCTGGCCCGGGACTGCTCTGCTCCACCCGGGCTGCAGCTCCGGTGCTCAGGGCAAGAACCGCCCCAAAGCGCCCCCCACGTGACCCCCAGGCCGCGACGTCAGCGGGGACGACCGCGTTCCTGCAAAGCCCCCGGACCCGTCACTCAGCTTCTCCCCTTCTTCCCTCCAGTACTGAGAACACAGAACCCAGATCGCTCCGTCCTCATCCATTTATTGGAGTCAGGGCAGGAATTGTGGGAGGGTGAAGGGCAGGGGAGGGGCCGCAGCCTGTCCTGGGGGTCCCGGAGGCGGCGCTCAGCGGTACTTCTCGGTCAGGACAGAGGATACGACCGCTAGGAACTTGTCCCAGGCGGCGTGGGCCTCGGCCGTGAAGTCGGCGGGGAAGCGCGCGGCCAGGGTGACCAGCAGGCAGTGGGACAGCAGCTGGGGGCGGGGCCGGCTGGGTGGCAATGGTCGAAGTGCGGCGAACGTAGGCTTTGGTATGCGGGTAGCTGAGGAAGAGCCTGGGACGCGCCGGGCGGGGGGCTCGTGAGCTTCCAGCACCCGCTCCCTACCGCCCACGACCCCCCCGCGCCCTGCGGCCCTCTCCGGGCACCCAGGACACATCTGCGACCCCGCAGCAGGCCGCAGCCCCTCACTCGCGGTGCCGCTGCCCTCCCAGGCTGCCCTGTGCCTAGAGGCCCCCCCCCAGGCCTCTGCAGCTCTCCGGGCTCACTCGCCTGCTCCAAACGGGTTCCTGTGCAGCCCTGATCCCCAAGTCC